CAGTTCCCTCAAAACCCAGCAGCTCTCTCCTATGATGATCAGCTCTGCTGCTTTCCTTAGAGCCGCCCAGAGTTTTGTAGGGCTGGGTTTTTTGAAAGAGTAATCGCTTTTCATTTGCTTCCCAACTTCCCCCACTGCTGATCAGCTGTTGGCAAAGCTGGTGGGTGAGGGACCCTGCTGGATTTTTAAATAGTTGTCTCTCTCACTTTATCATACATCTTTCCTGTATAATTATATATGGAGATGACCTTGGGAGGCAGAGCCTAGGNAGTGCATCTCTTAAGGAGCAGCATTTTTTTAATCATGAAAAAAATAGATTGCTTTAATAAATGGCAGACAAGCATAGTGTTCCAAAATTGTTAACACCTTGTAATATGTTTACTCCACCAATAAATTTTATCTTTCAGGAAAAAAAAAATATCACAGGGTGGGGGACGTTTGAATCTTGAGGCGAACCTCCTTCCATAAGGCAGGTGCTGCTGCAGAGAATGTATCTTCCTGGGTCGCAAAAGATGGTATTGTTTAATTGTTGGAACCCAGAATGTGCCAGCCCTGCTGGATTGAATTTGCCAAGCAGATATATGGGAGATTGGTGGCCCCTCAAGTAACCATGTTCTCTGCCATGTTAGGCTTTAGAGGTAATGACCAGCTCCTTGAATTCACACAGAAGCAAAGTAGCAAGCAAATCAGGTGTTGCACGTAAACCATTAAAGGGAAAGGGAAGATTGGACACTGGTTAATAGATATTGAAGACTGTTGGATCTAATGGTGGCTCTTGAGAAATATTCCACCACTCTTTTAAGACTGGTGCATTGCCCCCCTCTGTCAGAGAGGCTGCTATTATGACCCAGAAAGCAGCTGGATCCAGTGAACAGATGACAGTATGTGGATCCATGTCTGTTTCCTCAGGAGTTACCATCATAAACCTATCCCAGATCACATCACCAGACTGTAGTTCAGGCGCTGTGGCCTGACACAATCAGAGTTCAAGGCAGAGTGAAACCGAGTGACTTTATCTTATAGCCAGCCAGAATAATCTAAAAAAAGAAAATGCCTCAGATGTTCTGGACAGAGCCCTCCTTACCCAGTAGGACTGAGTTATAGGAAACAGTTATGCTGGATGGTTATTAGCAGATGCAATAAGAGTGAAGAAACACTGACATTTTGCCACTCTCATTGCGATGAGGTAATGCCTGATATGGCTCTTTACATGTGGCTGGTCAAAATTCACTTTGAGTTTTCCTCCAATTGCAGAAGATTTCTTCCTCCTGGCATCTCTTCTAGCACTTCATTTTCCAGAGCTGTTAATAAAGTAGTTTTACTTGAATTGGCATACAGGAAGAGGCCAAATCCAAGGCTTCACCCACCCATCTATTGCAGGCAGCGACTTTATTAGATCCTACAATGTAATGCTCTCTACATGGGGCTGCCCTTGAAGAGTGTTCAAAGACTTCAGTTAGTCCAGAACGCAGCCGCGTGAGCGATTGTGGGTGCACCCAGGTACACCCACATCACACCTAACCTCCGTGAGCTGCACTGGCTACCCATTAGTTTCCGAATCCGCTTCAAGGTGCTTCACCTATAAAGCCCTACATGGCATCGGACC